AAGGTTATTTGCACAGGCATAATACTGTCAATAATAATGTATTCAGTATTTTTTTTATCTTTGCAATATTTTTTGCAATATTCTTTAATAAAGTAGAACATTTCCTTAAACATTTTAAGGCCATACTCATTCCATCTACAACAGAATTTGTATTCTAACCTGAGCCTACCATATGATCCTTGTGCTTAGCTGAAACAGGAGTCCCTGTGCTGGAAGAAGATCCACTCCTGCTAGCAGGTCGTTCTCTCTTGACAGTTCTGTCAATTCCATTTTCTCTTGGAGAAGTCTGTCGATTTGGGGGGGAAATGGGATCCTGTATAAAAGAAATATATTTTCATACGGAGAAATACTGGAGTGAGCCGTCTAACATTTTCTTTTAGAATAATACTTGTGAAACTAAACAAGTAACACGAAACAGCTATGCAAGTTTACTCATCTTCAAAAACTGATTAGTTTAATATTCAAAGAGTAGTGAAGTTAAATTAATCATTACACGTATATATATAAAGTATCAACTACAGTTTTCAACATATAAAATATAAATGACCAGTTGTATAGAAGTGACATAATATTAGCAGGAACAGTAAGGGAAATAACAAGGAAAACTATCCACAGCAATAATGATCATACTACATGTTAAGTAGCATAAGATGTGGGGGTTGACTAAATTAAGAATGTATCAGTATTCTATATACAAAAAATAAATAAACATTGGTTAGCCAACACCAGAAGGTCCTAACCTCATTGGCGACATCCACAACTAGATCTTGGTCACTTTTCTCATCCTCACTGCCCTGTGGAATTGAAGAACAAACTGCCAATAGCTTGTTTTTACACACAGGCAGCACAATGAAACATTTTTTGAAGTTAAATTCAAAGAAAAATAGAGATCTATGAAGTTAGAACTTTCAAAGTGATCATGAAAAATGTCAACACTTAAGATATAACTTTTCATATATCAAAGTGCTCTTGAAAACACTATCTGAAATTTGTAACATTAACAAAGAAATTTATCGTTGCTTTGTGTCAGGTCAGTTTGATATAAAACATACTCAACATTTGTATATCACATAGTTAGTAGTATGTTGAAACTAACTTGATACTTCAAAAATAAAGCTTAATTTCTGCATTTTAAATCCACCTTGCAGCACTTAGCAAGCTATGGCACAAAGAGTTTGTCACAAAAACAGATATATAACTTAAATCCAAAACTGATTTTTTGATTATTCATGTTAGCCATAGATTTATTCAAACAAATCCTTTTATCACAATTTAATGTTGATAACATGTTGTTTTTTTTGGAGTAAAAGCATATGTCCAAGATGAATGTTATATATAATTTAGACTTGGCCAAATACAGAAAGGGTTATCTGCACAAAACTATTCCAAACTTAGAACTAACAAACTACATGGAAGGCAGCTGATCAACAGTACCCACTGTTAACACTTGAACTATTCACATCTGAGAGTATAATGGGATTTGACAGCCATTACTATAGCACACCCACAACCCCAACGTGTGGAGTGCATTTTTGCAGCAATGGATTGCAATCCATGTATCCTCGGATTCACAGTCCAACAAGTTAACTAATAAATGTGATATAAAGCCAAAAACATTTTTTATGAAATTACATTTCATGTTACAAATTATAAATTGTTACCCATATTGGAAATGAAAAAATACAATATGGGTTAATTAAAATTCTGCTCTATTAGAAGCTTAAAGCTCAATAATTGTTTATAAGCAATAATGTAAGAACTATCAAAGTCACATTTAATAGTTTATGTTTCAGTTAAATGGACTGAAGAGGTAAGTGTTGACAAAATAAACAAGTGACTGAAAACACTATTGTTCTAGCTAAATTAAAGATATCTTACATGATCAACTTTGTCCTCTCGCCTCCGCTTCTTGTCCAAATCTACCTCTGGTGAACGGCTTCTATGCTTGTCACGGTCATGAGGAGAAAGTGAGTTCCGCTAAAAGAGCAACAAGTAATATACACTAAGACAACCATAAAAAATATTACATTAAACCCCACTAACAACAGTTCATATACTGCATGTTCAGCCTCATGTGAACAATTCTGTGTATTTATTTAATTTTCTTTATGCATTGTTTCGAAGGTCAGTAAAAACTAGAACCATTCTTTGCTCTGGCATACTCCCAACATAAAGACGCAAGTTTTATTATGGAAAACCAACATTACATGACTAATAAAACAACAGCTTATCAGATGTTATATTAAACAGGATTTCTTAAAAAACTGAAAAAAAAACAGCAGTATTAAACAGACTTAAGTCAAATAACTAATAAAATAAATATTGATAAAGTTCAAAAATTATTATATTTTAAGATCAGGACAACATTTGTGTAAGTTTTCACCCATATGTATTAAGGAAATAAAGCCAACATTTAACAGTACACAATAAATATTTAAAATGAGACTGTCCCTAGTCTCAAAATACAATATAAATGGTTTTACTTAATAAGTTTACTGCACAAAGATAAGATACTGTGAAACTGGGAACAGTCTGATACACTACAATTTTGAACATCTTACTGCAGTGTGATCAGGAGAGCAATATTTTGCATCTAAATGTGATTTCAAAAATCACATGATCAAATTTACATACAATTTAGCTTAAAGAATTTCACACCACCTATTATCAATATTTCTCCCTGGTCATTCATCCTTATTCAATACTTTGAAATTATTTTCATTACATTTGAATTATCTCACTAGATTCACAGATATTATTACCACTGATGTTTGTAGGTTGTACAAAAATAAGTTATTTCCCATTGAATCAAGTGTTTAGTTTTCTTAGTATGTTCAGCAAAAGGTAAGATTTTGTATTATTATTTCTAACATTTTTTGTGTTCATTTATTCTGTATTTTAAATTTCTTCTAGATTGTCCCATAGAAGTATTTCCACATTCACATGGTATTTTGTATATACCAGTTTTTCCATTAAATCAATTTTATTTTAGTTATATTAAGCATCTGGCTAATCTTGTTCATTGGTCTATATATCAGAAAGATATTTTGTTGTTTTTTAAAATGTTGCATTATTTGACAAGAAAAATGAGGTAGAAATGGTAATACAAATCTTTCTTCCTTAATTCTTAAGCAAATGGTCTTAACAATATTTTTATCCTCATTATTTAATTTATTGATAGCTCTGTAAACAATATCAGGATGGAAATCTCTTTCTACTGCTACATACTTAATTAATAATAACTTATTGTTAACATTTTCTAATTCTACTAACATAAGAATAAAAAAGGGAAGTGATTTTTTTAACAATTAGGTGTAACATGATTTTTGATATGGGGCATGACTACAGAGAATGGATTTCATCAAATAGCAGTTTCTAACTTTCCCTTATTTTTACTTACTAAAACATCCAAAAATGTAAATAGTTATTTCCTTCAATTTCATATATAAATTTAATAGAATTGTCAATGTTATTGAGGTAATTAGCAAAATCAATTATATTATTTTTACCATGTCAACATATCAAAAACATGTCATCAACATACCGTAACCAACTTTCTGTTTTTTGCTTTTCTTAGCACTTCAGTTTCAAAACTGTCCATGAATAAATCACATAGTAACAATGATAAAGGAGAACCCATAGCTAAATATTCATTCTGTTTATAAACTGTACTCTTAATTTGAACACACAAATTTTTAATATGTTTCAACAAGGATAATCATATCAATTATTTCTAAAGCTAAATTTTTAACTTTTGCTTTTACCATTGTATGAAATTTATTTATTGGATTAATTTTTAAGTTCTCATATGAAACTTCTTTCAGGAATTCTTCAATTTTTAAATCATAATCTTTTCTATTAATAAGTATTATTTGACCACCTTTATTAACTTTACAAATAAGCACATCTTGTTCTTTTAAAGTTTTTATCATTTGTAGATTTAAAATTCTTAACTAATTTCAATTATAACTCTAGTATGTACCCTAATTTTCTATACACAAATCACAAATTTTGTCAAAATTGGGTTCATTAAAAGATGAGTTTTTGATTTTTACATAAACACACATACACACCATTGTTTTCTTTTTATATAACATTCTTCTATATAAATAGCACATAAAATAATGTGCTGTTTCCACATTGTATTGGTATTGATTACTAACGTTTTTCCCCATTTGTGGTAGCTGTAATTGTCTGTCTAGAAAACTACATTAACTGATGATTTCTGTTTGCCTTTAGAAGATTGCATTTTTTTTTTTAAACATTTATTGTGAATACAGACTTCCCAAACAGTATGTCAGATGCAGTTCTATTATTTTACCTGACATTATCAAATACAGTAAACAGCTGGTAGTTAAATTAGTTAGTTGTATTAAGCCTTGCCTATGCAAGTGTTTAAAAGTGAGAGGGAGTTGTGCTTACTTACTCCCTGCACTACTCTGTCCAAAACCTTAGAGACGTATAATACCTTAAACAGAAATCAATAAATAAACAATATTAAAACTATATCATTAACATCATTTCACCTTGGTGCAAAAAAAGGTTATTTTTTTTTAAACAAGCTAGATATTATTATTATTCATAATGCCATTTGAATAATTTTGGCCTTAGGTACAATATACATAATAACTTACTTAAATTTGAATTTTGATTTTTTCTGAGGTTATTACATAAAGATCCCTATATTATACATATCTTAGCATCAATGTAATTTTTGTTCTTTTTCTGGTTTAATTATGCAGACGAGTAAGTGAATAGTTTGAGAGTAATAATACATGTATTTTCAGTAAAACAACCTTACACTATTTGTCACATAAGTGGCATCTGTTCTCCCAATCTAGTCCCTTACTTTTTTCAGGCTAACTAACAATTAAAAGGCATATTTTTTCTGTATTCAACAAACATCCATTTACTCACACATCAGAACACAATAGTCAAGAGCACAGTGTCGTGGCTGTGATATGCTTCGTGTGCACATCAGGTATTTCACTTACTTAAATTCAACTATTATTCTTAACAACAAAGCTGTTGAAAGTTTGATAAAATTTTCATCCGCATTTACAATTCTTCCTGTTTTAATGCATAGTGTGATAATGAAACTTAACATAACAACGGTTTATATAGTAATATGTAGTTAAGAAGATAGTACAAAAATAATATATTACATTTTCATCACATAATCTTTATTGAAACTAAACCAAATTTTTTACAATGTTTCATATCCTTTGTAAAATATACACTTGATTTATTACAGTATAATCTGAGGCATAATATTATTATAGCATTATTTTTAATGTTGAAATTAAAAATGCTTTACCAGCTGCAATAATGATTCCCAAAGTATGCAGTGCCCTTACTGATTAGCAGATAACATACTTATTGGTGATTAGAAAGTTCAAATTACAATTTTTTATTTTTGTTTATGTTTTTAGCCTACAGTGGCTTGTAAAGTGGACGAGAAAACACTCCAACAAGGAGTAATCCTTAGAATAACTAGCACAAAGGTAGGAATCAATAATGGCCAAGAACAAATGTAATGATAAGTATGTTGGTTCTTCCATTTATCAGTGATTTGTTTGATGGAAAATGAAAAAAAGATAATTTCCCATCACAAATAGGCAATTGCACAGACCATGGTCAAGAGATGATTGACAACATAGTAAAAATAGGATACTTGTTTGTGTTAACGTTGGTAAACGAGCCATAGCCAGATAGTTGCAAGAAATACACCCAGGAAAAGATCTATTCATGAAGTCTTAGTTATTATTTTTACTAGTAAAAATAATATTGAATATGAACAACAGAAGAGAAGTTTCAACAAAGTCAAACAAACATGAAAACAAAGCAACATTGTACCAGGCATATGATTCATGAAAAACTACCTTTTATTAAAGTGCAAGACATTAATTTGTAGATCCACAATTCCAGGAAGGACTGATAGCATCATAAACTAAAATCTACTTACACTTTAACAACTATTTTTTCAACAAGTGTATACCTTAGGTAAGTTAAAACTATAGAAATGGATGTATTTTACTTTATGTTTGGTAAGGAAAAGATCTACACTTGTAATTGGAAAAATGGGGTTTATGTATGTTCTGTGGAAAATGAGAAAGCCTCTTCCTCCTATGTTGAAGAAAAGGAGTCTCCAAGTGTATTGGAAAGTGGTTTTTCACTTGTAAAATTTCTGACTTCTATAATAACTGGCTACCATGATTCTCATTTTCAATTTAGAAACTTTGATTTTTATAGGTGAATGTAAAATGCAGAGAAAAGTCCTACTGGTAAAGTCTGTGTTAATTCCTTTTTTTCTGCTACTTGATCAACAGTTACATTAAGAAAGTTGTTTTATTAAAACATATGATTTTGGGAATAAGATCATTAAATTGTACAGATACAATATCATACAGTCCTTTCAATTATAGCCAAAAAGCGAAATAAAAATAAATAATAATATACTATTTCTACGTGACTATCTTCGAAAGCTGGCCAAACAATATATATATATATATATATATATATATATATATA